AAMCSKTKKTTTTTTCTRGATGAAATGGCAGCTCTTGAACCTCTTCTAAATAAACTTTGGCTCGAAAACGTCGAGCGGCTTGAGTTCTAGCACAACTGTATTTTGTGAGCTTTTAATTTAAGATCTCGACGTAAAATGAGCCAAGTCGTTCCATACGTCAGTCCTTGTTCTCCCTTCGGCACCGAATCGACTCTCCATGGTCTTCGTGTACACTCTTAGCTATGGCTGCTATATTTTCTTCACTGTGTGCTAAACGTGGTATATTCGTGGTATGAATGACACAAAATTTCTAATTTATTTATGAAATCTTAGTCGATGTTTTGAAGTTGATTGAGAAGTTAGGTAGAACTGCTTAGCCTTTTTAAGATATTAAGATAAAAACTGCTCACGAAAATCGCTATTTTGAGTTAGTTATCAAGTAGATTGAAGTTTTTATATAGATTGATCCCAAGTACCGCTGAATAGTAATATGAGAAGTCACTAGAGCCTCCAGAAGAAAACATAAAGATCTTTTTTCTTGTGTGAATAGCATTGTTCCTGTGACTATATGATGTCTCTTAGATAGRTKAGTATCAAACTAGGGTGAAGAAYACCAAATCAAAGCTAATAGTGTAAGTATGAAATAGCTGATGAAGTCAGGTAAGTTAGCCTGTTACGTATTAAAGAGCTGAAAACATTTTAGTGTTAATGTTTTAGTCGGTTTTTGAAGCGTTGCTAACAGTTTCATTTTGTGTCGCTTTCCTTACTAGTTCTCATTTCAAACCTTCATAAAAAATTACACTGTTGATATTTTCCCATTTAATCTATTATATTACTTGTACTTGGAATAAAAACAATAAATTAAGCCCAAACACAATTGCATCAATATTCAGTTCGCTCTGCAATTAGGTTGGAAGCGGTAAATGTTTGGATGGAAGTAAAATAAATATGATATTTCGATGTAGAGAAAACGATGCCATAAAGTTCATACATATATATGTGTCATAAAAAAAATGGTTACACATATGTACAACTTATCTATCTTGTGTAAATTTTAGCTTTTAAAACGTTTCCTGCTCCTAAAGAAAAAACTTCGTTATTTAAAAATATGGAGGGTTGCCACCGTTCGCTTGCCTACTGTTTAGCTGCGAGGTGCTTTATGCTGCTTGCTAATTCTTAGCATCTTTATTTTATTTGTAAAAATTTCGTCTAATAATTTTTTGAAGCTTTGGCAACTTTATGTACACTATACTTCCTTTTAGCAAAAGCACTGCAGCGTGTGAGAATCTAACGAATGCATGCAAAGACTTATTTCAAGCTCAAGGATAAAGTTGCTGCAAACCTCGTTACATACATGCACATACTATTTTTGAACATACGCATGCGCCCACAAGCTCTTCTATGATTGTAGAGATGTATGATTGTATCGAGAACATGTCTGGCTCCTTACAAGCAATTCGTGCGAAATCAAAGTCTGTCACAACTGCTAACTTTTACTCGTTTTAATTTCCTTCTTTTTATCGTTTGGCCACATCTTGTTGCTGMAAAARCAGCTGCCACTAAGTTGCTGTATCAGATATCCTGCCATTTGTCTCCGCTCGACAGTGTTAGTGCCTTTTATTTGGCTGTTGTATTCTTGCAATCATCGTTGCACTTTTACTCGCCATTTTCTACTCAGTTTTCATCGTTTAAGTACTATATGTATATGTGTTAGTGTGTCTGTGTTTTATAGCATTTTCAGCAACATGAGTGCTTTGTTATTTCGATGCAAGTTTAAGTGTGTTGACTGTAATCCGCAAAACAAATGCTTGATAAATGTACACGCATTTTACGCATTTTGTTGTTGTTGTTGTTGTTACTCTTGTTGGCTAATTAAATCCAGGACATTTCGATTGCTAACACATTGTTGTGTCATAATTTTCTCTTCTCTTACTTCTATCGCCTCTCCATCGCATAAACTTCAGCCTTCAAATCGGCATCTTGGCCTAGAGTGCGCTAAAAAAACTTAGCAACATGTTGACAGTAACTTAATTAAATCACCGTTKTTATATATATTTTTATGCAATTTCGCTGTGTTCCGTGCGTGTCTCTTAATGTAGGTGCATTGTCGCCCACTGCAGCTRAATTTAATTAAGTTTAAATCGTGAKGCCARTRGYTAGTGGGCATTCAGCAATTATTCACCCGCTTCGATTCATTCCGTGTGCGCTTTTCCGCTGATGGACTGCAGTCAATGGGAAAATGAGTATTGCATTTTCCATGTAGCAATCTTTGGACGTAGTCCGATCAGACTATTTCAAGACGGCTATGGCCTACAGTGGTTAGATACCGGCGATTCTGTGAAATGATCACTTTCTTAGGAAGAAATTAATTTTAATTGTTAAACTACATTAAAAGTATGTTATCAAATATTTTGGTCACCTATAAATCATACCTTATAAATAATTTCAAAAGAAAGATAAATTTTTAATTAAAAGCCCTGAAATTACAAAAAAATAAAAATATACTGCCTTATTATATTGCTCTAGAATATAGTATAGTATATTTTATCTTGTTATAAACAAACTTGTTTTCTGTTAAATTCGCTTTTGTTTCCAATACAATCGAAAATCAAGTTGTGTATAGTATTACAATCGACATTGTTTTCTCCTTTTTCTGATGTGTTGAAGTTCCGAATTGTATTGGTATTGTACGGTAGTTTAATACATGCGAAGTTTTCAACATTTTTTACACTTCAGCATATAACAACTTGTGTACATATATATTGTGTTGCTATCTGTATAGAGATTTCTGTGGTTATTACTCTATCATAAATTCTTACACTTGCTTGTATTCACTTTTTTCCTACGCCTTTCACGCAAACCAAGTGTATGTGCGTTATTAGTGCATTCATTCGCACAAAGTTGCAACTTTGAATTGTGCT